ATGGTGACCGGGGGATATGTCAGGAAAAACGTTCCCACTCGCTCCCAGTGAAAGAAAGGCATAGATCCAGCTTCACAAGTCGAAGGGGAGCTCGATTGGGCTTACAAGATATCGAACGAGAAACTGGGGGACATCACCAACACCAGTCATATAAGGGATTTTTGCTATGCTCAATACTTGAAATATATGGCCCATGTGTGTCGCATGGAGAACAATGTCTTGCAAAAGCATGTATTATTCGACAAGCAAATACCCAATAGGACTTGGGTAAATGTTGAAAAGTTACTGGGTGTCGACCGCGCACAGACAAGGAGGACAATGCTCGGACTTTAGCTGGCTGTTGGACACACGCTTTAGTCCGTTGTCACGCCCGAGGGCCGAGAGCAGGCCATAGGAAAAAACCTGATGATGACCTATTAATCATGGTGACACATCAGGTAACTGAAGTTATTTTGGGCAGTAGTGCCTAAACCGACTCGTCCAGCCAAATTTTCATTGGTACAACAATTGCTGGTGTTACTTTCATAATGACAAGCGCTACATCAGCAGCTGTCCAAGATTAATCTGTTTTGGCATTATCTGTGAACACTACTATGTTTTCAACCTCATGAAATCTGCTAGGTCTTATTTATATTTAATGAATGTTAACTTAACGTTAATGTATCTTTTATCCTGTTCGCAAAATAACAATAAAAAAGCAGATTACTGCGTGCAAATTACTTCAGTCTTACTTTTTAATTCGTTAGCATTTTGTGAAATGTCTAACAGTAAAAAAAAGATGGAGAGGCAAGATGACGTCTTCAGATCTTTTGTCTGTTCGAGCAAAACCCAAAGAAAACTGAGAAATGCAACAAATCCAATGTTCTTCCGCTTGACTAACTGATTAATTGACAAATCATTTTCTCTGCTTTATTTTAAATTATTTGGATATCATTTTTTTGTAAGCTCAGCATGTGCCATGTTTGTATATAAAGAGGATACATGAATGCTTATTAAAGGCTGTGTGGCTGTTAAATCTGCTTCAAAGATGCACTTCTGAGTTGTTCTTTCAATCACAAACCTATTCAGCTGAATTGCATTCTTTCCCTCTAAATTAATTCCATCCATCGCGAGCTGAGTACAAGCTGCCAGCCCGACAGCTGGGCTCAACCATGCAATTGAAACCTGCAGTGTTAAGATGCCATTCATACTGACAAGAAGCTTCCTTTTTAAACAGTTGTGTGTGCCAACATCACAAATGGTTCTGCTATTAAGTTAACTCAAACTCACATTTACAAGTGGAGACTAATAATTCTGCCTCGAGTCTGTTCATTTTTTTTCTCACAAAAGACCTTTTTTTCTTCTCGGCTGACAACCACGTTTCTTTCTATTTAAGCACAATAAACAATAATTTCGCTGATTATTTTCTTCTGTTTACTTGCAGGCATGTGGATGCTGAAGGAGGAGGATTTAGGGGATCTAACACACTATCAAATGAAGGAGATAAGTGTAATTATATGTATTTAGAAGATTTTAAAAAAACATTACATTGCAAGGAAAGTGGGCTTAGAGTCACAGATGACATGTTGAGGAGATATTTCAATTCTAAAACTGAAAACGGCGACCGGTTGGCTCCATCTGGGCTGTTCTGGTGTCAATCAGTAAAATCAGAGGCTTTTGTGTTTGACTACAAAAGAAAACGTGTACACAGAGAGGCAGTGTTTCCACTCATGGTGACTCACAATGAGTGACCATAAATGCACGTTATCTCTGCTGAGCGGCGAGAGTTTGCCTCCAAAATGTCAGTTTTTCAAGCACAAAGCACAGAAACCTTGTGATTAACATCCTGCAATTCAGAGCTCATCCAGTGATGGCGAGGAAAGAATTTACTCAACCTGCACAAACTGAAGTTTGGTTTCACTTTATTTATGTATGTCACCGCTGACTGTTGGCAATAACAGCGTGTCAGTAAACTGATACATCAAATGACTAAAGTTTTCCACAAACCGTTATCTATTTTAACTTCTGCACATCTTTGGACTGTGAAACTGCACCAAATGGTATTTTAAAGAGTCTATATTCTGCTTTTTTAGGTTTCTCTTTCCTTCAGTGTTACGTTGCAGAGAAACTTCCACAACACTTACTGAACTACAAGTCTTTTCTCAGCAAACTGAGGCTGGTTCAAGAACACAGACACCGATTCTGAGTTGAAAATCTGCGCCTTATATAACTGAAACACTGGGGATTCCACTCCTTCATTTGTTTCTGGGAATTTTACAGTCTCTTTTAGTCTTGTTATCATTACGTTCCTCATAGTTGGCAATAACTGAGTCTAACCTTTTGCTAAACATGATTGTGACAAATTCTGGCTTACTTTGTAAAATAAGGGAATTTGGCCCCTTTAGTCACGGCACATATTAGTTTTTTGATCAGCATAACTTGTCAGTTGGTATTTTTATTCACTACCATCAGGTACCTGAGTTTTTATCGTCACCACATAAGCACAGCTCCACAGTTCTTACGTAAAATCACATTAACCTGACTGGTCATTCTTTCAGGTCAGGATATAATGATCCTGCCCACAATCGTAGGGCTTGTTTTGTTTGTTTTAGATAAGATACCCTGAACATTAAAGAAAAACAAGGTGTTTTTGGAACATTAGAGCACATAAAAATAATCTAGTAGATTCCTAAAAATGAAATGACATGTAAATATGTAAACGTGCAGAATATGGGCTGTTAAATACTTAAAATAGATTAAGGTTTAGATAAATCACACACAAAACTTATCTTATTAGGTCTATGCATACAATAAATATGTGTTTTGAGGCCTTGAATTTAGCATTTGGATGTCATTATTTTGGTTATTTGAAAGTAAAATGCAACAAGTGAGAGGTGGATCTGACTGAGAACTACACTTGAACATACCCTGCTTTGTTGTCGATTTTACTCGAAATGGGACCATATTTGACTAAATAACCACCCTGCAGTATAGCAAAAGACTAGAAACTACAGACTGAGACCATAAATTCATTAGGAACTGTTTCCTGAGGAAAGTGAGAAGGATCATTTTCTCTTAGACTTCTACACAATCTGACTTATTCTTGCAACCAGAGGAGTCAGCCCCTGCTGCCTGTTAGAGAGAATACATATTTGAAGCTTCACTTTTCAGACAAAAGAGGCTGTGCCATCTTTTATAATCAGTCTATGAAACTATATTATAATAACTGATACAAATCTATTGATTTTCTTTTTTTTTTACTGATCTGTGGATCTGTAAAACACATTGAATCTGTAGATCAACTAGCACATTTTGAAAGTGACAACATTTAACATGCACATTCAAAACACGTCACAAAAATAAATCCAAATGTCTATCATGGAAACACTAAACCAAAATGACTTACATGCATCCACACTAAAGCGTCTAAAATACAACAAAAAAGTGATGTAATGGCTAATAAAGCGTCACTAATCTGTCAGCTCGCTCTAAACCTAAGCTGTGACATGATATTTTGTAAACCTGTCATCCTATTGACTATCTGAAATTTAATGGAAGATTTAACCACTATTGAAAAAAGGAGCTTTGGCTACTTTATTTTTGCAAAAACACTTGTGCTGTGTTGTTAAAGTCACACTCAGTTTAGACAAGAATTCATACAAAAAATAATATTCATATGTTGTAGGTTTTGCCTTGAGGTGCCACAACTCTGAACTCAGCAGATGCTTAGCTGATGAAATAAAAGTTGCTGAAAGGATGCGAAATCCCGAAATGAAAATATCTTTAATATGTTTTGCTTTAAAATTCCAGAAATTACTGCCAGCAGCACGTGAAGCTCCAGTGGGAACTGAACCCATAATTTTGGTTATTCATGTGCCACGTGCTGCTCATATTGACGAAGTCCACTGGAACTGAAGAAAAGCCCCCGCTCACTGTGAGTAATGAGAATGAGTTACTGTGTGTCATTGTTTTACTGACAAACCACAATCCTGGCAAGATTTCTGCTGTTGCACTCAACTACTGCTGATAGTATTCCTCCAGCATAATCAAATTCAGCATCACATTGCTTTGTTTCGGCAGGGACTGTGTGCACGTTGGCTTCCAAACATGCATCAGAATTATAGGTTGTTTGATGGATTACTTCAGATAAAATAACAAAGAAAACCTTGATGATGAATCTGGTTTATGAAGTCAGACCAGTGCAGTAAATTAAAGTTACTACAGCACATATACATGTGCAAACTGAGTTGTGTTTACTGTGAAATTCTTTGCAGTAGTGACAGATTTGTGTGAAAGCAGGTGTGAAGCAGGGTTTTTCAAGCAACGTGGGATTTTTGATGCCCCCAAAGAGTTTTTTATTTCTTGGACAATGTACAGATATTTTACAGATTCTCCCCATTTTGTTAAATTTCAGATAATAACTAGAAAATTCACAGAAAAAAAAAATTTGCTGAAACGTTATTGGCAAAAATAAATAAATAAATCAAATGGACCAAAACTGCAAATAACGTCCACTTTTAGAAATAGTTACTACTTCTTCTTTTACAATGTGTGACTGTAAAGCTGCACTGTTTTTCTGTGTATGAATCTGCTAAAAATATAATTTTACAGATAGATGCTGCTGTTTATGGGTTATGATTATGAATGTTACAGTGTTGAACCATTTTTACCTTTTATTTCATTTATAAAATACTACTTTAACCGATTATAACACATATTAAGGCTGAGACCCTACAGTGTCGTTGGAGATCAGCCTCACAAATGTAATAATATAGCTGAGACTCTACCTGTTTAGAAATTACTTTACCTAGCTAATAGAAATATCTGCAGCATGGTTAATTATGAGAATTAACTTGACTTGTAGAGGTGTTAATGAATAGCTCGCACTCCCTACTAGTCAATCAGAACTGAGGAACGCCTTCAAGAACCAAAGAAAGAAGTCTAGTTTCCTTCTACTGTACCATCTCAGAATCTCTGCAGCCAGATAGTAACGTAAAGGAAAGATTTTTGACGTTACTTACGAACACATTTGTCTCCGCTCTCGTAGTAACCTGGACAGCACTGGTATCTCTTACGGTAGTCTGTCTTCACCGCCTGCCTGTAGGCGGTTTTGTAGGTGATCCTGAAAGAATAACACAGTCAGACACGATGCTCTGACTCTCTGACGGCAGGAAGTGAATCGCGGTGTTGCTACCTGTGGCGCAGACATCTGTAGGAGGTCTGAGGGTCCGAGCAGGGCTCCTCGGTCACGTGGTCATACGGATGTGAGTAGGACTCTTTGACTGAGGTGGTGAAGCTGAAAAACAGAGCATACAAGAGCTACTTTACCATATCTGCAAAGAAAACAGGTTAATTTCACTTTTGAAGAAGGCAGTTACCTGAAAGGGTAAGGTTAAGATTAGTGGTGTCATTCCCCTACTTTGGTCCAAACTGTTTTTTGAGGACCAGTTGTGTAGATATTTCAAAGCCTACTCATCTGAATGATCCACTGATGTTTGACCTTGAGTTTTAGAGAAATATTTAAGTTGTTGGATGAATAGTGAAGTGTGGCTCAGATATCCATGACTCCTTCAGAACGGATCCTAACAGACTGAATTGTAATCCTAACTTCGGCGATCCTGTGCTGACCTTTCCGGTAATGCCACCAGCAGGTTTTCACTTTTCCTGTGAAATATCTCAACATCTGTTGAATAGATTGTGGAGGAAAAAAAATGTGCAGACATTTGTGGTTCTCAGAGGATGAGGCCTAATGACTTTGATGACTTAAATTTGTGGTTTTCAGTGAAATGCTTCAACAGCTATTGGATGGACTGTTATTAAATGTGATACATTTATTAGTGCCCTCATCAGGTCAATAGTTTGACCAGTCCTGGAAGTTATCACCCGCATAAAGAGTAGTTAGTGCTACTTACGAAATGTCACTTCTTAAAATTCTGCTCAACAAAATAAAAATACATAATAAAATTTGCTAAAATTGAAAATAAATATAAAGCTAAATAATCTCTATCGCCCCCTGGTGGCTGGCTGCAATATCAGGCCTAAGCCCCGCCTCCACCTTGTTGGCAAATTCAAAGTACAGCTAAAATAAAATTTCCCCACATCTATTTCCATCACAATATGCTGGTGTGATGTTTGTTCAAGTGCTTGTTTTCCTGATCATTTTGTTAATAATTGTTTATTTGAAGGTATAAAATGGGCAGCTTCAACCACAATGTGAAGGCCTCATTTCCTTTTTCTTTTTTTTCTTCTTCTTTTTAACGTGTCCGGTCCATATCATAGCAAGCTGAATGATGACCTGAGTGCTGTGTTGTGCTGAACAGATTTACTTTGCTAAGGGGAGCTTTACGAATATAAGGCCCCTCTTGATAGTCTGATTTTTATTTATTTATGTATGTATTCATTTTGTTTTATTTCGTTAATTTATTTTGGATGCTGGCTTCTTACTAAATTGCATGTCATATTGCTGAACCTGAAAGAGGAAAAAGAAAAGTGTACAGTCCAAAGAAGTGCGAGAAAGAGTGAAAGGAAAGTAGAAGAAAACAAAAGAAAACAAATACACCACAATCTATCGATACCCGTATTGACACACAGCAGAGACGATCTGACGACTTTCGCGGGAAAACAGGGCTGACAATCATCAAGAGCACCTGCAAGGGATGCGGAAGCTGAGAAATCTATACAGATCTATACATGCACACATTGATGAGAGTAGGCAAAGAAACACAAAAGAAAAAAACAAAAGCAAACTTCATATGTCAGAAGAAATAAAGAAATGAAATAAGCAAAGCAAACAAAGGTAGATATCAGTACAGACAATCCCATGTCATTTTAAGAATGTGTGGGGTGAGGAGTGTTCAAACATGAGTGCAACCATGCGAGTGCAACATGCGAGGGCAACCGAGCCCTTGCGAAGGACAGATGCAAACCAGGAGAACCCCAAGACCCGGGCTATCAGCAGCAATCCCGGAGTGCGAATCCCAGCCACCACACACTGAGGCGAACACGCATCCCCCCAGATGGCAGAAGAGAAAGACCGCAGCCAGAGCCCACCACGAGCCCAAGACCCACCCCCACCGCCCCATTCCAGGCAGAAGGCCGACCAAGAGCCTGGGAGGACCAGGCCACCCCAGGCAGCCACCCGGCATGGGCCAGCTCTCACCCCAATGCCCAGGCGCTCACCCCGGACACCAGGGATCCACTGACCCCATCCACCCATGTCCTACCTTCCTCCCTGCCCACCCATCCCCATAGGCTCTACCCTCCCCCTCTACCCACCCACATCCCCCCTCCATCCATCCTCCCTGCCCACCCACATCCTCCTTCCAGCCACCCTCCATCCCTACCAACCCACCTCCTCCCTTTATCCACCCTCATTTCCACATAGCACTGTGAGTGGACTGGAAGTCCATTCATTCCTATGAGAACATCCGTGTTTATAGTCCGGAATTTGCTTCGAACACGGTAAAAAACTCAAACTGCTGTACTGGATTTTGGAGAGAGCACATTGATTTGGAATTTGGAAGAACAAATTAATCTGCTTTAGCTAGTTTAACAAGTGCAAGCCCAACTATGTGCACAATGGTTTGCACTTCTAGTAACAAGATATTTCACTAATCTGGCGCCGTACCTCTCAGGACAACTTCTTCACTGGATGGTAAAAACTCATTAACTTAGATTCTCCAATGGCTATGGAAAGGTTTTCATCCATCCAGGAAGGAATGCATTTTACTTATGTTACACACCAGGGGCCATAGAAAGTAGAATAAGGAATTACGGAAATCAAACAAAACTGTGTGGAAGCGCGGCGCAACTTTTAGTGCCCCAAAATGACGAATAGTTGTTACTGTATGTAACGCTAGTTCTATGTAGTAAACAAAACATGGAAGTTTGCTATATTTGGACTTCACTTCTGTGGTACAATTTACTTATACAATGTGCAAGTACACCCCACTGGAAATGAGCACCACCCACTTACATAGTGGATTTAAATTTAGATTTTGAAAAGTGAGCCTGAACTGTAGAATGGTCTAGCTGCACCTCATCATAATCATTCCACTATAGTGGGAAAATACTCTTGCTCGTATTTGTATAATTGTATTTAAACCGATCAGTTGTCGTTGGCAGTGTTGAGCCCAGGATGCAGCGATGGAGTCCCTGCAAAATAGCGTCAGGAGGAGCTTGTTTTGTTTTTTTGGAACATTTGCATGCAGGCAGGCAAACACTGGGATTAAAGTGGATAATTCAAAAAACAAAAAGTCACGAAATGAACAAGCAGAACTGTCTTTTTGCTATAAATTCTCCACAGTTCTTGAAAGTTCCAGCATGTAAATTGCTGCTTGGGATTTTGCAAACAAAAACAGAATTCTGTGTGAAATGTGCAGCGGAAATGGCAGAATTGTACACAAAGTCTACATCCAGGAGTCAGACTTACTTAGGTTTATTGATTGTCATTACCTGCTCTCTCTTTACTATACTATCAAATAATGAATAAAAAGTCCAAAACTGAATATTTTAAACAAAGAAAAATTTGGTTTACTTTAACAGTCTCTGAATCTGGTAGCCAATGAGCTATCTCTTTTCATTTATTTCATGTGATCACATTGTATGGATCACAAACACAGCCTACAATAACAGGGCATGACAAAACGTATGGAAGCAAATCAGGCTCATCCGATTTTGAATTTTAAAAGCTGCTGAATTTCTAACATTGAATTTTGTTGCCATTGAAATTATGCTTGCGAATTTTAAAAGCTGTTGAATTTCTAACTTTGAATTTTGTTGCCATCAAAATTGTGTATGTGAATTATTTTGTCTGAATTTAGCCCATCTAAGTTTCAATAAGTCAGAATTTCAGGTGTAAAAAATTCGAATCCATGGAAATTTGAAGGTGCTCAAATTCAACAGGTTCAAAATTCACTGTATAAAAAATTCACTTTTCACATCTGGGGACTTAGACATAAACAATCAATTCTGGCAGAAGTCGATCCAATGCCCAGCCAATCAAGTTACGCTCCTCTGGTCATGTGACGTGCACGGTTGAACGCAGAGGACGACGGTCATCTGTTTGTTAGCAAGATAACTCAAAAACATAAAATCAGATTTTCATGAAATTTTCATAAAATGTTGATAATACCACATTGAACAGATGATTATATTTTGGTGATGCTCCTTTTTACCATCTGGTTATTTTCTCATAAAACAGTAAATGCTGTGACGTGTCACAGTTGTGCAGAATGCTGTCGTTACACTGTTTGTCTACTAGATGGAGTTCTGACTCTATTCAGTCCTTAGTCCTCACCTCTGTCTTCACGTAGTACAGGAGTAAGCTGCAGCCAGCTAGCATTGCAGGAGTGGGCTGAGCGGAGCTACTGACAGATAAGTTCATAACCACGTTGTGACATTAAAAATGACTCTACATGCCTCCTGTCAAAATGTTTGAGAGTACAGAACGACCGTTCATCACTCCGTCAGCTTGTTATTAATCATATCAATGTTAATTCAAATGCTAAATGTATGTTTTGATTATCCATGAATCTAATAGTGTAGATAAAATGAATGCAGGACTTTAACATTGGCTGGAAATCACAATATGATGGAAATGAGCTGCTTGGCAGAGGTCTGCGCTCTCCGAGGGCTTTTCTAGTTTTTATTTGGATAATTGGTAAAGTGAGATTTTTTTTTTTGATTTGCTGTAGCCATTTACTCAATCCATTTTAATCCACTCCACAGCAACACCATCTGAACTAGAATTTACAATTCTACAATTTCATTTAGCACACGCTTTTATCCAAAGCGACATACATCTGAGAGCAGTTACAACACAAGCAAGGATCTAGTCAGGAGAAAACAATCTAGATAAGTGCCATAGAACAAATTCAAGTGTGATTGGGGGTTGATGCAAATAGCAGGCTGTGTCGGAGGTAATTGGATTTTTTAATTTTTTTTATTTTTTATGTTTGTTTTCGGGCAGTCAAGTGCAAAAGTATTCAGTGAAGAGCTGGGTCTTTAGTCTTTTCCTAAAGACTGAGAGGGAGTCAGCAGATTGAACAGAGTTTGGTAACTCATTCCACCACTGCGGAACCACAGAGAAGAGTCTAGCTATCAACCTCGGCCCTGTTGCAGTGGTTGTATCAGGCCGTTTTTGTTGGTCGAGCGTAGTGAGCGGGAGTGTAGATCTGCATGAGAGAGTTCGGGTAGGAGGGAGCTGTTCTTGTTGTGGCTTTGTAAGCAAGTGTCAGGGTTTTGAATTTTGTGTTTGCAGCAACTGGAAGCCAGTGAAGCGATCTGAACAGCTGGGTGACGTGCTGTTTTTGGCTGGTTGAAAATCAGACATGCTGCTGCATTTTGGATCATGTGCAGAGGTTTGACCGTGGATGCAGGGAGGCCTGCCAGTTGCAGTAGTCAATACATGATATTATTAGAGCTTGTACCAGGAGTTGTGCTGCATGTTCAGACAGGAAAGGTCTGATCTTCCTGATGTTGTACAGAGCAAATCGACATGACCGAGCAACAGAGGCAACATGAACCTTGAAGGTTAGTTGGTCTTCTATCATTACACCCAAGTTTCTAGCAGATTTTGTGGTTTTGAGTTGGGTCGAATCAAGCTGGATGTTGATCCGTTGTTGTAGAGAGGAACTGGCTGGGATGACAAGGAGTTCAGTCTTAGAGAGGTTGAGTTGAAGGTGGCGTTTTTTCATCCATCCCAAGATGTCTGCAAGGCATGATGAGATCCAGGCAGAGACCGTGTGGTCATCTGAGGTGAAAGACAGGAAGAGCTGAGTATCATCAGCATAACAATGATATGAGAAACCATGGGCTTGGATTATTGCACCGAGTGAGGTTGAGGAGAAGTGGACCAAGCACTGACCCTTGAGGAACCCCTGTGGATAGGCTGTGTGGTTTGAACACTTCTCCCCTCCATACTCTTAAGTGTCTTCCTGAGAGGTAGGACACAAACCAGCAGCGGGCAGAACCTGAGATGCCCAGCTCAGTGAGTGTGGAGAGGAGTGTGTGGTAGTTAACCGTGTCACAGACAGCTGACAGATCTAGCAGCAATAGAGCTGAAGACTGTCCAGCAGCTCTAGCAGAACGCAGTGATTCTGTTACAGATAGGAGTGCAGTCTCAGTAGAGTGACTCCGTTTAAAACCAGACTGATACGGGTCATACAGATTGTTGTCACAAAGGAAAGTAGAGACTTGGTTGAAGACAGTTCGAGTTCAAGTAGTTTAGACAGGAAGGGCAGTAGTGAAACCCGTCTGTAGTTTTCAACCTGGGCTGGGTCGAGTGTAGTTTTTTTTTAGTATTGGAGTGACTCGAGCTTACTTAAATGTAGCAGGAAACACACCCGTAGCAAGTGAGGAGTTGATGATAAGTGTTATTGCAGGGTTTAGTGCTGAGGAAATGGTTGAAACTGTTTGAACTGACCTGAACTGAGTCAAGTTCTGGATTCGATGGGAGATTCTACCAAGAACTCTCTCCATAGAGGTAGTGAAGGGCCGATACCCCACTCTCCACCTGCTGTGAGACCTTGCGCCTCCCAGGACATTACAAGGACTACATATCTTTTAACAGTGACATCCTGGCCTGTATTTTCACCTGCTAGACAGGATTTGGTCTTGTGTGAGGGTGACATCCTGGGCTATACTTGCACTTGCCAGACAAGATTTGTTATATGTAGTTATATAGTTAGTTAAACTTGACTGAAAAAAATCAAGTGCACGGTTGGAATCCCTTCCTTACCTGTTCTACCAACTCACCTGACTAGTTATCTGGTTTAAGTATTCGTGTTTCTGGCATACATTTAATGTATCTGAAGTTTAAAATATTCCGATGAACAATGTATGCAAGCAGGAGTTAAAAATGAACTGGACTGCACTGATTTTATCTTCTCATTAGTGAATGTGCTTTGCAATGTTACAAAACAGCCAATCTCAACTTTGTGTGTATACATGTGACCATCTGCACGAAAACAGTCGCATTGCACCTTGACACAATGGACTATTACGCGTAAACAAAAGCAGCATGTTGCTACCACATGACGCAAATCACGGGACACAATTGGCTGGCAATGACACATTGCTCGTGGCGCCTGCACACAAGTGATTTCTGCGGCTTCTTTCTGGTGTTACCGCTCATGTACGCTGATGGTATTTGACAGCGATATGAAATGTTACATTATTATGCGCTGTAATAATATATGTTACCGACATGTAGAAAACAACTAAATCGATCAACCTAAGTAAAAAACTCAAAATCAATGTTTCATCATGTGTTAACGTAATTCAGGCTGTATGTATGATACAGCCCGAGGCACAATGCGACTGATTTCGTGCAGATGGGTCACATACGTACACACACACACATATATGTGTGTATATATATACACACCAAACTTGACTGGATAAAACATTTAAAAACACTGTTCTCGAGTGCAGGTGATCCGGATCCAGAGGCATGCGTCCCATAATATGCTCCAAATGAGAACAAAGGAAATAATATAAAGTCTTCCAAACTTCCAAACAGATGATTTAGCAACACTTCCTAGAACAGAGAAAAAAAGTTATATCATGCAAACTACCACTGACTTGACTGAAAGACTGGACTGTGACACTAGACGCTTCTGTTGAAACAGACTTTAGGAAGGTACACATACTAAACAGGCAACAGTTGAAAATGAGCTGCATTTATTACAATCATTGTACAATAACGCCTTTTATACCACGGTGTGAGAAGAATTGACACTTTGATTTATTTATTTTGCTCATTTCTATCTATCTATCTATCTATCTATCTATCTATCTGTCTCTTGTGTGTTTTATTCTTTCTTCTTCTTCTTGTTATTATTGGTTCGGTCTGGAACAGGTGCATAATGCATTTCACTGTGTGCTATACTCTTTATAATTGTGTGTGTGATAAATAAAGGCCTTGAAATCTTGAATGGTCAGCTATGAACAGAGTCTTCTAGGGCAGCTCATTTCAAGCTGTTTGCTCACCATTGTATTTACTTTGACTACATAGTTTAAAACCTTTCAATAACAAGATTAATTTGCAATGAAACAAACCAAAACATCAACCAGAGCAAAAAAACACCTAAAATAAACAAAGGGTTGCATAGCCTAATTTCGTTTTCTAGGTGACCAGGTTCTTTACAGTACTCTATCTTAACTGCATTTTCTGGCGCATCCATCACACATCGCGTACATATGTCCGTCCATTTATGTGCTTGTAAAATTGATACTCAGGTATCGAGGTGCTGAACGTGCTGTCAGTGTGACGTTCTAACTGTTTTTGATCAGTCAGACCTTGACATAAACTCATATTTGGTGCCTCTGTACTCAGTAGAATAAACTTTCGCTTAAGTGGCACAACTTTAGCCGTGCTAGCTAAACTGTAACCAATGTAAGTCGTTAAAAGCTCCTCATGGATATTATCCAATAAATTCGGTTCTTAAGAAATGTATCCTGCATTACCAGTTACTGACTCTCAAAAAATAAACGACACAGAAGACAAATAAAGGGTTAATATACACACCCAAGCGCCACCGTTACCCCTGGTTGTCACCATAGCTGATGACGTCATCCTCTGCGTTCAACCGTGTGCGTCACATGACCAGAGGAGCGTAACTTGATTGGCTGGGCACTGGATCGACTTCGGCCAGAATTGATTGTTTATGTCTAAGTCCCCAGATGCGAAAAGTGAATTTTTTATGCAGTGAATTTTGAATCTGCTGAATTTGAGCACCATCGAATTGGACCTGTTAAATTTGAGCACCTTCAAATTTTCATGGATTCAAATTTTTACGCCTGAAATTCTGACTTATTGAAACTTAGATGGGCTAAATTCAGACAAAATAATTCACATACACAATTTTGATGGCAACAAAATTCAAAGTTAGAAATTCAACAGCTTTTAAAATTCGCAAGCATAATTTCAATGGCAACAAAATTCAATGTTAGAAATTCAACAGCTTTTAAAATTCAAAATCGGATGAGCCTGATTTACTTCCACAAAAACGGAAAAAAATGGCACTTGGAATGGACAAAATATACCAAGTAAAACAAAGAAAGACCAAGGTTTGACAATAACATTTTGGCTAATCTGATTACAAAAGTAAAAGAGCAAAAACTGGCTGAGTTTAGATTTCTTTTTGTGACAAAGACACTTAATCCTCCACATCTACAGAGTGAGTACATAACAGTTGTGTCTCTATTCCCTGTGATGATTTTCTTGTCTGACCACTAACCCTCCTGAGTCCTGTAAACTGCAAGCTTTCATCAACTTGTACACATGCAGTGCTGGAGAAGATATGATTCATTTCATGTCATTAACAACAGCTATTGTTTGTTCAGTCCCAGTCAAACAGGCCTCACCTCTCCCACAGGCTGCACACATTGGGGTCTCTCGGGTTCAGGGAGCAGCTCAGGCCAATGAGAAAGCTGAAAAGCAGCAGGACTGCAGAGCTCTGCAGAGTCGGCATCGTCCTGAGGGGAAACAAAAGAACAGACATTTACATAGGACTGCAAAAGAAAAAAGCTTAAACATTTTAGCAGGGATGGCACAAGGCCAAAAATATTCCTGTTTTTATAGAAAAAAAATACAGCAGACTGACACAAATTAACTGCAAACAAACGTGCAAGCTTATAAAGTTTGTTTGTAACAGAAGAATGTTTTTGAACATCCATAGAAAAGTAACATATCTCAGCCAGTGACAAATCTGTGCAGCCTTGAAACACAGCAATAAGCCCAAAGTGGAAAATGTGATCCAACTGGAGGTTTACATTCATTGTTTTTGTTTTTATTTCCTATAATGAAGATTTCGCAGCATGCTGTATGGAAACATTCATTGAGAACTGGTTCTGGGCACCTATAAATTGCAGTTAAGATTTACCCTCTGACTGTAAAAAAAAGTTCATTATACGCTCAGCAGAGGTGAGGCAAACTGCCAGACTCAAGCACAATGCCGTCTGCTCCCCGCTGAGCTCCCCTCCGCCTCGATGGAGAACATAAAACTCAGGCATCAGGAGGTAGCAGACGGGACAGCAGAGGCAGAGCGGGAGCGTTGGACGGAAAATGAGACGGAGACAGAGGGATCAGAATCAAGAAATGTGACTCCCAAATTCATCCTGACCCCTATCAATCAGTGGTGCAGCACAGCCTCCACACTCCTCTGCTGTCCACACTCCGGCAGCATCTGGATCCCATCAGAGCGTCTCAGCAAGGGGACCCTGACAGGCTCTCAGGGAGCAGGAGGGAAACCATTCTTCCCTCTTTTCTACTTAAAAATATCCCATGGAAACGGACACAAGTTCAGCAGGCCAGTCGTGTGAGCCTTCTGCTAAAAGTGTCGTGGGAATTTCTCAAAAAAGGGGACTTCATGTTGACATAGGTTCAGTCTGGCCCATTCCTTGATGTTTTCTCAACAAGGCCCCTCTGACAGAATTACTGTACCCCGGCTTCACATGTCATTGTGACGCTGCAGCCTTGGATCGGGATTATCTTCGGTCATGGACAAACATCTCACATCTCAGAAAGAGTCATAATAAATCAGTCTCTTCCTGTTAAACCGTCTTTTTTTATTATTATTTTTTAGATCTTTAAGCAACATAGTTTGAAGAAATTTTACTGATTGTGTCTTTACAGTTTGAACAACTTTTGTCAGCAATGTGGGAGTGTTATTCGGACGAGAATTTAGAAACCAAAACTTTACCTGAAGAATCAAGGTTAAAAGCTAAATTAAGATAGTTTGGTAATTCACCTTATGGTCCCTTTAACCAAGACATGGGGAGCACTGATTTAGCGCAGTGCTTCGGCAGAGTTGCAGAGCAAAACAGATTGAGTTTTCAAAACTTCCAGCAGAAAAACATCACCTCGTCCTTTGCAGGAATCTACTGGTTTGCAGTAAACACTAACAACAGAGATGCCGTGTTTCTGTTGGCCGCACAAGCATACGTCACAGCATGCATAGCTTGCCAACCAGGTCACGGCGCTTTTCTAGACGTAAACCATTGCTGTGTAGTGCAAGCAACTGAAATTAATGGGTTTTACAGCGTTATTGTAGGTGTGTTTGGAGTGTCAGTCAGCTGATTCTGCAGTACATTATTGTCTGGCAACACCTCAGTATCTGACGCTATAGGGGCAAAAAATGCTCTGGCGAGTTTGTATTTTATTAAACAATTTACAATTGTCTTGGGCAGCGCTAAGCAAAGGATGCGGCTTCACTGTTCCCTCTAAACAATGATGGTGGAATTGTTTTGGTGGAACATTTGCACGTAGGGGGACAAGCACTGTGAATAAAATGGATAATCCACGAACTTGCTGCAAATGCATGATCCATATCCTCTGTAAAACTTTCAGTGCGGTAGGTTGCTTCCCAGGGGTGATGGTTGTTGTTGTTTTGTGTAGCGAAGAAAATGGTAACACAGACCAGTGGCAGTCAAGCTAACATGACATAAACTATCATCCTCAGAGACTCTTCTACGGACGTAAACCAAAATCTGACAACATGCAGGCAATCCCTGCAGGCTGACTGCACATGTGCAAGAATAGTGAACTACATATTAGTTTTGTGCACATTGTGTGTCAACAGTCCACTGCCACTGCCTTGAATTGACCTTCGTGGTTCTTCCTGCAGGGGAGAAGCAATTTGTGTACAAAATTTCACTCTTAACCAAAGGTGTCAGCTCATGGTGGTGTTAGAAGTAAGTATCGATCACCTGGGATTCGTCCTCTGGGAACCATGAATGCACATTCAAAATGTAAACCCGTTTGATTCACAACTGATCTACTTTAGTCCGGTGGTGGGCTGACCAGTGCTAATTGAGACTGAACAGACCAACATCTTTGCTACCTTGACTAAAAAATACTGGGTAAAAACTGTAAGATTTGGGTTTTATGGAAGAAGTTCCATTGCATCACCTTACTGCTACAGCCATGCTCTGCTTCTTTCAGTTCATTTTCAGCTTTTATACTCATATTTGCACTTAAAGCCACTGTGCTCAATTCAAGAAATTTCCTGACATGGATTTTATTGTCCTCTTAAGCACTACAGCTATCTTTTTTTTAATTCTCAAATTTGGTAACGGCTCCGCAACTGTGAGAAATGTGAAATATAGCAAGCTTCCCTCGCCTCATCACCAGTTCAATAAACTTAACACACTTAAACAGCAAATATTGGCATTTTTACTTCTTCCCAATCAAAATTGTACATTTGAGAGTAAATTATAGTCTTTTAACAGCCAGTGGTGCTGTTATTCTACTAAATCCGATGCAACAGAACTGCATCCATTTTAATCACAGCGACACCAGAAAGCCTCTTCATTAAATGGGTCACGCAAATCTTCGAAAAAAGGCGGCAGGTTGCGTTTTAATAGCAGATACAACATGGTCCCTGGAAGTGAGTTCTGACTTTTAAGCACAGATTGTGTCTTTTGTGCATCATAGTTTCAGAACAATTGCACCTGTTTATAGGTTTAAAAAGGTAAAGGTAATTGAGTAAATCAGTGGAAAATAGCATCATTTGGAGGTCTGACCCTGGTGCAGGCTGTAGTTTTCTTGTCGAGCTCCGTCTCCTTCGTGTCGTCTGTTTGTGGCGGAGAGCACTCCTCACTTTTCATGTGCATATTTGCATTTTAAGTCACTGCATTTGGGAAATTTTGGGAAATCCCCTAAAATGAGTAGATGATTTGCCTGTGGCTTGATGAATAATGCATTCCTCTAATACTGCCAAGGTCAGCGGCTCAGCTCCCATCAGAGCTACTTCAAATGTGTTTACCGATTTTTTTCTTCATGGTACAGACGAACACTCTTCAGAACGAGTAGTGCCTCGTGTTTGTAGAAGCTGTTTGCCTTAAACATCTCTGCAATCAATCAGATGCTCATTGAGCAGATTTACATCTCCATTATCTCTGTCCAGTGGCTGGTTATCACCGCTGGAGATTTGGCATGGTGAGGAGAGCAGCATCAATCCGTACAAGCGAAGTAGATCTTGTGTTTCTGATAAACTGCCTCTCACTGCTCTCCTACCCAGCGTCAGGAGTTAATTCACTCACTGGCACAAACGCTAACGCCTAAGAAATCTGTGCCACAAAAACAGTATTTTATGAGAACAGGCATATGGCTTTTATTAAGAGGAGTCATCAACTTCACCAGCCACTTCATTGGACTGGGGGTAAATATTTTTCATTACCTTCTTTTCATTTTAATTGTGCTTCATTAGAGAAAGGCTTCAAACCGCATGGGAATTCTTAAACGCTGAGAAAGAGAGCTTAATGAGTGCAGGCGGAGTTGTTTTGAAGTCGGCGGCTGTTTGCGTTCGGGTTACCTACGGGGGGGGGGGGGATAGGAGGCAGGTAGACGTCTACCTTCATCTGGAAGTGGGAGTCTTCAGGAACACCGCGTTTGTTTGTGGCAGGTATTCCACCACAACTGGGAACTGATTGACTCTTCCCCTCTCCTCCTTTTCATAGAATAACCTTCTGCTCCACTACATTCAGCCATAAGATGCCATTATTTCCTTTGAGCTTCTTCGAGACAGCAGCTCTGAACCTTTTCACTTGGCCGAGCTTGGCTGCCACAAAGAAATAACGTAGTGATGTATTGCTGAAGGTTTTCCAATCCTATTTGACTCACTTTGCTAACAGCTAGCTGGTGGTAACATATGCACACCTACACATTTCACATCCACTGGTCGCACTATGTAAAGTCTGGACCGGGATCAGTAAAAAACCACAACAGTAGAGATTACGGCAACATATTTTTGATCTTATTTGTAATGAAAAAAGCAGACAATCTCATTCAGTGCAGTGAAACTTTCATGTGGCTCTATAAACCAATAGAAAATAGGCAAAATACCACACACACACACACACAGGCGTACATGAACACACATAACTTCCACATGCACGCACACACAAAATCCAACACCCACTGCTCTGTTTCAAACCCTTTCATGGGCTGATCATGTGTTTTCATGTTCTGGAGACATCAAATGAGTCCCATACGCTGCAGTCAGTTTAGAGAGAAGTTATTTTTAGTATCTGAGGACATTTCGCGAATTTGCCGTCGAGGCCCAAAGCAGCGGCCCACGCAAACGCTCATCGTACCAACTGAGGAATGCTGTGAACTGTTTAAGGGCCCGCGATGCTGTTTCCAGAACCGCACAGGGGCCTCAAGTGAAAACAAAACCCAAATGAAAACAGATGCACTGGTTTTATATTAATCTCGCCAGACACTCGCACTCGTGTTATTACCATATTCCGTTTCAATCACAGACCCTTTAGGATGCGTAAGTGCTGACAACTACAAATTTATCGTGATTCGATTTCATGCAATAAAGACATTTTCTTGACAGATGACGTTTCCCATTGGACATGTATTAGTTGGGTCAGTCAGGCCAACAGATACACACTTCAGTCTCAAATGTGTTTATCAATAGCACCAAGTAACTGCAGGCTGGTGAAGAAATAGTTCAACGCTTATTTCT